GATATTTCAATCTTCGCCCGGCTATTGGATAAGGAGATTTCAATAGCTTCCAAAATGGTTTAAAGATTGGTGCCAGTATAAACCGTGAATCGTTTTGGTTCTTCAACTGCTTTGAATCTTACTGACAAAGAAAGTTGTCTTTCTTCTTTTAGACAATAAGCCGTGGTAAACTTCTTCTTGTAGACGACTTGGCTGACGGGAAATAATTTCAAGCTCTCACCAAAAAAATAATAATGCCGGTTTCGCTTAAATATAGATGATTTAATGAAGGTGAATAATTTACAATCGGATATACTTGGCATCTATTAAAACAAAAGATCAGATTGTGGCGTCTTGGAATTTCACTCTATCTGTTCAGCAAGGCTCAATCAGGAATTCAAGTGTATAGTGGGCTCCTTCGTCTTTCGGGTTTGCAATTGCGTGTGTCTCGCACGCCAAAATATCTCAATTTTCCATTGTTTAATGTCAGAGTTGAAAGGCTAAATCCTATATTTTGATTTTACCCCATTTCATTCAGAGCCATAACTCAAAAAACCCAAAACATATTCGTCCAACATTTCTGTCGGAAACGGAATCAGAAACATGCACTAACCTGTCCAGTTTGAGGTTACACCTGGTCCCACGACAAATATTCCTGTCTGGGAAAATTAATAAAGGCCAGAATAACACACACCAATCCATTTCCGTGTAGAAAGTGGTTATAGGATGTGAAACAATTTATCGCCTGCAAAGCCGCATAAAGTGAGGACAGAGCAGATTCAGCTCTGATAGGCGGCCATGTATGCCCATTCGTGGTAATATTTCGATTCGACATTTATGATTTGAGCAATCAAATATGCAAATACAAAGGAATAGACGATGCGAGGGAATGTCGCAACTTGTTGACCGAATTTAACTTAAATTTTGCCCTTGAAAAAGTCAGGAATGAATTTCAACCGCTGCCAGCTCATTGTCAGTATTTCTTGGGCTATGAAACAAGAAGTATCCGCGTCGCCGTAGGCAAAATTACTTTAGCTGGCAAGAAACTATTTAAAGAAAACAGACATCAATTAATAACCTGCGGCAGTAAAAGCGAGATGCGTTTTTGCGACGCCATTTTTTTTTTGTTCGGAGCTATTCATGATTACAAGGACAAAGTTTCGCTTTTCTATTTCATCTTATTTTATGGTAATTAACGCGCCATGAAATTAGTGATATCTCGTGCCTGTTGATACGAATGAAGAAGCATCAAGCCTCTCGATAGTCTTGTTACTATTTTAAGAACATTTTTTTTAATATTATTCACCTAATATAAGGCTCAAGTGCCACTGAAAGAAAGTTACCAGGAATATTTTGAATCCTATTTTTTTTTTTTTTTTTGCATGGAAATTCTAATTTTGCAAGAAAATCCTATTTTTCATTAGAAAAAACTATTTTTGAAAAGAAAATCCGATTTTTAGTAAGAAAAGACGATTTCCAGAAAGAAAAACTTATTTTTAAGAAGAAAAGCATATTTTTAAAAAGAAAATCCTATTTTTGAAAGGAAAATCCTATCAACATAGAAAGAGGAGAAATGACAAAATACTACAAACTGATGCATAAAATAATGATTTGCAAGACTCGAGAGCCACTCAAGGTAGAGGCTTATTGTTATATTTAGTAATCTCAAACGAAGTCTGTGATATGAATAGAAGAGAAATAGTAAATAAATAGTATGCAGTATTAGTTTACTTTTTACATTATTCGGTCTAATGTCCTCATCTTTGTCACCATATTTATTACAACATTTCGGCCTTTCAGTACCTGTCTATATTTCTGAGATGAGGTATTATGTACACTATTTACATTATTCGGACTATTGTCCTCATCTTTGTCGCCATATTTATTACAACGTTTCGGCCTTTCATTATCTGTCTATATTTCTGAGATGAGGCTATGTACACTATTTACATTATTCGGACTATTGTCCTCATCTTTGTCGCCATATTTATTACAACGTTTCGGCCTTTCAGTATCTATCTATATTTCTGAGATGAGGTATTATGTACACTATTTACATTATTCGGACTATTGTCCTCATCTTTGTCACGATATTTATTACAACGTTTCGACCTTTCAGTATCTGTCTATAATTTTGAGATGAGGTATTATGCACACTATTTACATTATTCGAACTATTGTCCTCATCTTTGTCGCTATATTCATCACAACGTTTCAGCCTTCTTCAGATGGTTGGAATGTTGCTTATTTTCTCTCATTGTTCTAGTTCCACGTGCCAGTTATCAGTTATCTCCTGTTAATTCCCCACTCCAAGTTCCCCATGGCCTTAACCGGGTATTGAACTCACACTCTTTGGGTGCTGTCACTGGATCTAACTAACGCTTTATCCATGTGTCCTTGAGGACATCTGTGTATGAATTTCTGGGTATTATGAACCTGTCTTCAGCACCATTTTACCTGTGCTCATATTGCAATTTTTGCTGTTATCATGATGAGGACAATAGTCCGAATAATGTAAATAGTGTACATAATACCTCATCTCAAAAATATAGGCAGTTTCCTTTTTGTTTTCATTTTCTCCAAAAATTCACCTGTTCGGTTCACGGTAACCGCTGAAGAACCACATTTCTGTTGCTTCGGGTCATGCAGGAGATCCCAGTCTTACTGACTTTTTTACTCAGAACTGGGCCGATATTTAAGATCAGTTCATACAAGGGACTTGACCAGAATAAATTTCTGATCCCAATAACCGTTAGCCTTCCTGCACATCCGAACAGAACTCGGGACCTAACTTTGCGCCAAACATTGCATCATACCAAACTGAGCCGTATATTGTTGTCTATGGCGGCCAGATCTCACTTTACGCGGCTTTGCGGGCTATGAATTGTTTCACACCCTACAACCACTTTCTACACGGACGAAACGTTGCCAGCCACTCACGACTTTATCGATATTTCCATGGCAAATGTTCAGACAAGTTACATTCCTTAATTCCGTCAGTTAAGACCTTCACAGCAAGGAACCTCCATGCCAGGATCGCCTCATCTTTGTTCACTTCGTATTTCATTAACAAGAACATACTGATTCGTTTTTTACGGTTTATCAACCCTTTACGCATTTTTTGAAAGCTAAAAAATATTTTTAGACTGTAAGATTTTTTATAGAGATAATAATGATTTAATGACACAAGTCTTACTTATTAACCCATAGCTGGAGGGAGAATAGTTGGATTTATACCTTTCTCAAGGTTATTTACGCCTAAGTGTTATATAACGAACTCGACTGGAAATGGAACACGGCTTTCCGATTAACAATAAGCCATTATCCATTACACCACAAGCAAATAAAAGTTTACAACTCATGGTATTCCCAATGAGTACTGACCAGGCTCGACGTTGCTTAACTTCAAGAATTGTACGTGAAGCATTATTTCAATTAAAAAGACAGTTTCCTCCCCAGAACTGCTACACAAATTCCCGAGTGGATGCTTCCCCGATCTTAACCCCTTCAAGTCTAGGGTCAAGCGTTATCATGTACAAAAACATGCACTTCTTATTTCCTTCGTTTACGCCCTTACAACAGTCGCATTCAGTAACCCTCTACCTTGACAAGCTCTTGGGTCTTTTATAATTTGAACAATAGTGTAAAAATGTCGTCTTCGTTAGCAAGCTGTCTACAAATCATTATTACTACAGAGAGTTCGATCTTCACAGGAATATTAAAAAAACCTTTTGTTACTTTACATTTGAGCATTGATTTTCCATCCTGTTTTGGTGTTCTGAATTTACCTCTTATGTGGCATTGTTCCAACGAATCTACGTAATTACCTGTCTGCCTCGTAGGACAATGGTTAGAAAAGACAGACTAATGAGTCCGATCCTCCCATAACTCAGAACAAAGAACATTCTTACATCTCTACATTGTCATTTCTTTGCCGGCCATATATATATATATATATATATATATATATATATATATATATATATATATATATATATATATATATATATATATATAGCAATGACCTGTTTTCTGTTTGTACGTGGGTCTGTTACTATAAAACAGCAAAACGGCACATTTTAAACACAAAACGCCACTGTTAAACTAATCTAGCTTCAAAAAGCAGCAATTCCCAGTCTTATTTGCACCGTAAAGAAAATCCTGTTTTTGAAAGAAAAATCCTATTTTGGCAAGAAAAGCCTATTTTCGAAAAGAAAATTCTATTTTTCGCAAGAAAAGCCTATTTCAGAAAAGAAAATCCTGTTTTTTGCAAAGAAAACCCTTTTTTTTACGGAAAATCCTATTTTTGTCAAGAAAAGCCTATTTTTGAAAAGAAAATCCCGTTTTTCGATTAGAAAATCCTCTTTTTGAAAGGAAATCCTATTTTTGATCAGAAAAGACTATTGCTGAAAAGAAAATCCTGTTTTTACAAAGAAAATCCTACTTTTGAAAGAAAATCCTATTTTTGGCAAGAAAAGTCTTCTTTTTTTTTTTTTAAGAAAATCTTATTTTCGATAAGAAAACCCAAATTGACAAAGGAGAAATGACAAAATACTGCTGACTGCTGCATAAAATAATGGTTTCCAGTTTAATCATAATAGTGAAAGCAAATTTATTGAAAATTTCACTCGCTACAATGGATTTCATCCAACAAAGTAACGATAGGCTTGAGACGCTGCGTCTATGGGTGACCAGCCGCAGAGGAAAAATAAGTATCCCACCCACAAGACCGCACAAAGTGAGTTGGCTATTGGCTGTTTTTTCTTTTCTTTTTAGCGGCATATCAACACCTCTGTTGGTTGTTTAATGACGAAATCTAAATATTTTTTGTACACAGTTTTATTTTATTTTTGGAAATAATAATGATTTAATGATACAAATCCTATAAATTAATCCCTAGCTGGGGGTGGGGGGAGAAAAAGGTGAAAAGGAATATAACGATCCCGAGTGGAATTCGAACACGGCTCTCCGAATAACAATTCCGAGACATTATCCGTTACACCACCCGCACATAAAAAAAGCTTACATCTCTTAGTATTCCCAAGCGGTTACCCATCTAGGTACTGACCAGGCTCAACGTTGCTTAACTTAGGTGATCGCTCGGTTACCAGTGTTTCAACGGGATGTAGCCGTATGCCCGCGCTAAATGAGGATTGAGCCACGCCCAGATCAGATATGGCAGCAATCCTCCATTTGTTCTGGTTTCTTGTAGGGATAACGCATCGCAGACGGAATTAATTACTTTGCGAAGCGATAAAATGAACCAATAATTGTTTCTAGTATTTCTTGGCAATGGATCGTACGAGTTCCACCTGACGTCTGCAGTGAAATCATCACGATTCACAGATATTAAAAGGAAGAAAAGTGTGGAAACCCATGATCGCTTACATCCTGAAAGAATGTAATATTTAAAAAAATATTCAATGAATTAATCGGTAAAATATTTTTTTTAATAATTATTTTTGGTTACTGCATTCTCCAGGTTCCATGTTGAACAATGATGAAGAAATGTCGTTGTTTCATGAAATATTCGGATTCGAGGTTCTGTTCGGGTTCTAATAATTCCTACTGAAATGATTCTTTGAGACTTACCAAATACAAAAACGGTCAATTACGATAATTGGTTGAGGATTGACTTTTACTTTTAGCCTTTTTAGAGCATCTTCTTCTTCCAGTACATTAGAATTTTATAACAAATACAAAAGGAGGAGATAGGTTTGCCTATCGTCTGGTTCAAATACCTCCCCGGTCTTTTAAACAAAAGTAGAGGTTTATTCCTTCTTTCCTGTTTAGGAGGAGATAGGTTTGCCTATCGTCTGGTTCACATACCTCCCCGGTCTTTTAAACCAAAATAGAAGTTTATTCCTTGTTTCCTGTTTAGGATTGGGTTTCAGGTTCCTTCAACTCTGTACTTTTAACGTTTCCACATACTTTTTCCCTCTGCCCGTACGTGGAGATATGTTTGTCTATCGTCTGGTTCACATACCTCCCTATTTTTTTTTTGTTTTTTTTTTAAGTAGAGGTTTATTCCTTCTTTCCTGTTTAGGATTGGGTTTCAGGTTCCTTCAACTCTGTACTTTTAACGTTTCCACATACTTTTTCCCTCTTCAAATAGGTGGAGATAGGTTTGTTTATCATCTGGTTCACGCTCCCCACCCCCTTGGTCATTTGAACAGGAATAGAGGTTTATACCTTGTTTGTTGTTTAGGATTGCATTGCCAGTTCATTCTAAAGTCTCCTGCAATTTTATACTTCTAATATCTCCGAAATCTGATATTTTATTCACTATTTTTTTTTCTCTTCTCTTAGTAGGAATAGATAGGTTTGCCTATCATCCGGTTCACACTCCTCCTTCGTCTTTTGAACAGGAGTAGAGGTTTATCCCTTGTTTTCCGTTTGGGTTTCCGGTTCCTTCTAAAGTCTTAATTCTCTTTCACTCCCAGTAGCCCCCTTGCTTCTTAGTGGCTTTATTGCCTTTTTAGGGGGTTAAAAAAAAGTTTTGACAGTTTAGTGAAACTTCCATTTATTCTTAAATTTTCTTAATTTTTATTTTTTTAATAAGTACAACCATTCCTCACCTGATGAACGGTTTCCATTCTAATGACCTGGTCGCTAAACAAACTAATTGCTAGGTGAGAAGGTCTACCTGGCTGCTATTTTAGGCGCACTACATGTGTAATGGGGTTGTGTCATCCAGATTCAGATAGTTTTAATGTTGCACTCAGTAACGAATCTACTATGAAACCAATGAAGCTTAAGCTTTAGGCCCCCTAATCCCAGAGGGGCCCCTGAAGCAACATTTTTGATGTGCGAGTTTTTCAACAAAATCGATGTAGTTGTCTTTTCAAATTATTAAAATAAAGTCATTTTAGTGACAGAATCATAAACCAATGGGTCGCCTTAGAATATGTCCTCATTACCATTTTTATATGGCATCAAAATTCCCCTGTGATTGTTCAAATTTTAAAATTTTGTTGGTGGCTTGCAGCACCCAAACCTCTAGTTCTCTGGGTTCATCAAGAAAAGTTTTTGTTTTTTTTTTACTTTTACTTTTACTTTTACTTTTTTTACTATTTCATTTTTGTCTTAAAACTAATTTTGGCAGTTGGATCACATGAATCTATTGTTGTTGGTTTCCAAAGGGTCTCTGTATCTATTTAAGAAACAGGGCCCCAAACATGTAGGTCCACCAATAATTACACCATTTGTAACATTTCTAATTTATTTATTTATTTTAGTAAGTACAGTCAAACCTTACTTATTGACTGGCTTCCATTCCAATGACCTGGTCACTAAACAAGCTACTTTCTAAGTGATAAGTTCTAGCTGATTTCTATTTCAAATGTACTATATGTGTACTGGGGTTGCGTCAACCAGATTTAGATAGTTTTAATGTTGCACCTAGTGACGGATCTAGTATGAAACTAAAGCTTTAGGCTCCCTAATCCTAGAGGGGCTTCTGAAGCAACATTTTTTTAATGTGTGAATTTTTCAACAAAATTGATGTGTTTTTAAGTTATTAAAATAAAGTCATTTTAGTGACAGAATCGTAAACCAATGGGCTGCCTTAGAATATGTTCTCATTCTCATATGGCCTCAAAATTCCCCTGTAATTGCTCAAATTTTAAAATTTTGTTGTGGGATTGCAACACCCGTACTTCCAGATCTCTGGGTTCGTCAAGAAAAGTTTTTTGTTCAACCAGCCCAAAATGTGACCCTATTTCATTTCTTTCTTAAAACTGATAGACTTGTTCCCTTCCCGAAAACTAAAGTTTATTTAATGCCAACCAAAAAATACAATAGACAGAACTAATCCTCACCACTTACTCAAAAATGTTTCACTCCTAAAAGGCTCGCCATAAACTGCCATAATTTATCTCAGAAAAAATAATTTTGTTTATTATTATTATCATTATTATTATTATTTTCTTTGATTTCTGGCGTTTACACATTTCTTTCCGGGTCCCACCCAGGGACCTAAGGTTAGAAATGGCATCATAACACTTTCCACTGACAAAAAAAAAAAGAAAAAAAAAAAAAAATTACATAGATAAAGCCCTTCGTAAGGTGTGGGCTGTACTTGTCAGAACAATTTTTTGTATCTCCTTGAGGCATGGACTTCCAGGAATCCCTTCAATTAGTCTACTGCAATCTTTTCCAACCAGTCCTAGGGCTCCAACTACAACAGGGATTGTTGATATTATTATTATTATTATTATTGTTGGTATATGTTATGTTTCCTGCTTTGTATCCTGTAGAGGCGGGTCCAAACTATGATCCTTAGGCCCTATAGGAGAATTGTCATTTAATTGATAGCAATTTTCTTAGCATATGGGATGTTCCTAGTAGGACGATTTTCTGGGCAACTTGTATGTTGATGTTAACTGGGACATTGTTAGTAAAATTGTTCATTCTTTTTTCACAAGGGCCAGAGCTCCGATTACTATTGGTACACTCTCAGTCTTCATTCCCCACATCTCGATCTCCAGGTCCTTGTATTTGGACAATTTCTCGATAATTTTTATGGAGGTGTTTCTCTCAAATGGCACTGCTATGTCAATAAACATACACTTCCTGAATTTCTTGTCTTTTATGATAATATCAGGTCTGTTGTCTTTTATTTGCCTGTCAGTTTGAATTGGCATGTCCCAGAGGATAGTTACATCGTTATTTTGGGTAACTGTGTCTGGTTGGTGCTCATACCATCTCTCAGTGGTTTCGATTTTGTGCTTCTTGCATATCTTCTAGTTCACATATGTCGCTACCTTGTTATGTATGTGGGTTTATTCATTTTTTGTTAGTTCTGGACATCTTGAGATAATATGGTCGACAGTTTCGTCATGTTTTCCGCAGATCATTCATTTCGGGTTAGTTCCATCCGTGATAGGATCTGCTTACGAGGCTTTGGTCCTGAGCTGCAATAATTAGGCTCTCTGTCTCATTTTTCAAACCCGGTGCTCCCAAGCCACTGATGTGTTTTCTGTTGGTCCACATCTGCTTCTTTCGTTCTTTTTAGGTAATTTTTTAGTAATTTTTTTTTTTTTTTTTTTGTAATTTCATTTGACCCAGATGTTTTTCTTTCTGTTTTACTCGTTTGGCATAAATGTTATTCGCTTCGTTTTTTGTTGGTAGGATTTCATCTATATTAAGCTGTTTCTTGAGTTTAGCTTCTTTGTTGATGGAGTGGATTTGGTGTTTTACTATTTGTAGGAAAGGGTCATTGGTTTTTGCGAGGTAGACTTCCACTGTCACTGTAGTTTTTAGAGTTGGTTCAAGGTTGATTAGTCTTCGGCATCCTAAAGCTCTTGTTACGTACAACCTATCAACATCTGATTTCGGCTGGTACACCTTCATTTGGGTAAGCATTTTTCTGGCCTTGGCGTCCAATCGTTTAATTTCATTCAACTTCCATTTAATAATGTTGAAGCTGTATGTTACTACGGCTATAGCTAAAGTGTTGATAGCCTTCATTTTATTGGCCCCATTAAGTTCGCTTTTTAGTATCAAACTGTTATGGAGTGATTTCACTGTGGAGGCTTGTATTTGTACTAAGTTGGTCCTAAAATAGAATCAACGTACAAAACGTTAGGAACTTCATATAATAGGTATGACGCAGAAAAATCTAGATGTGGTCGCTGATATTTTAGTATCTGACTAATGGTCGCCCGGCATCGACTGACTGACCGACCCACTGAGCGATAATCAGTCACCACCCCCCACGAGGGCATCATGTGGCACAAGGCCGGTTTAACGTGGGATCTCCGAGCTATAGGCTCGGTCAAAAATATGCCCTTTTAAAACCCGTATAAACGGGTTCAGGGTCGGTTTACCTCCCCGAAAGAGACTCCGCCCTTCAGCGTAGCCTCGTTCGGGTTCCTCCCCGCCCGAAGGCAGAGAGTTCAACCGGTCAACCGGTCGTCTGACTTCAGACTGAACTCAGACCGACCCACTGAGCCCACTCATTACTCTTACTACTCCTACTTATTATAGGTGGGAGACTCTATTAACTATAGAATAGGTGTGTTCCACTGTAACACAAACGCACTCTCCTATAATATTCTTTGCGGATCTTTTTTTTTTCTTAATTTGATGTTGTATTTAGTCTCCTTCATTAATTCCTAAGTATTTGTATG